TAAGACAAACAACACGCACGTGCACTTTTACCTGCCGACGACTTTGTTCTTATTTACTAGTTTGTAACTGTTGGGACACTGCTATTTTCGTATCCTGGATAGCCTACTCGCTGTGCCCAACTAGTGGGTTAGTCTCTTACACAGGCATGGTCAGTCGACCATGTCAGCCACCGCGCCCATTACCCACTCCAGTCTGCTGACCGGCTCGGACAGCGATTGGGGTGTGGGGATGGGAAGGGAGAGTGAGGTCGACGACTCAGCGCACTTCCTCCTCACTATAAACAACCTGACGCGCTTGAAGCTATCACGGTGCGCTAAAAGCCGTGGCTTGGAAGGTTGCCAACTGACGGCTACCTTGGACCTCATCCTTAACCGGAGGCGGTCTGAGAGTCAGGCTGCAATGGCCCCCTTTCAATGTGGCCTTTATGGCACTCCCATCACAGTGTGGGATCCCAGGTGCGGCTTCGGCCGTGCCAGCCTCCAAATCTCTGTTGTAATGGTCGAAATCCTGGCCATTTATTCGTGTGGACCAGCGGGTGTGGTGGAACGCCAAGGTGAGGATTCGTCCGAGCCATCCACCTGCGGCCTCCCTCGTCTCCGTTCTTCTTGACTCTGTCTTGACACCGGGCCCAGGCGGGGGAGGAGGAGAGAGTGTAGGTAGATGCAGTGCAAGTCTACCGGCACTATAAGCCCCTGCGCAAGTTATCGTCCCTGCTCCCACCGTTTCAGCTGCAGCTGTGGGGCATACGGTGGACATCATCGAAATCGATGGTCGAACTGTCATATGCAGACTCGAAATCGGCCGAAAACAGGAGATTATTATCTCGGTTATCCCCCTATGAACTTCCAAAGTTGTCTCAGGATGGCTCTTCCACGTCAACAAGGCGTTTGTATCCACCTCTATATAACGGGAAGAGACGCCTGGAGATCCAGGAGTCATAAACTTTTTATGTAAACATTTACTGTTCGAAGTCAGTGAGAGGGGGCGGAGGCAAACATTGTTTTCACTTTCTAGAACTTTTTACGAAATTTAGTTATAAAGCTAGTTACTCATAAAAACTCCAAGCAAAACTTATTGTAAAATTTTTTTCCAATTAATGTAGGCTTACTTTGTCTCGGTAGTGCCTTCCAACAGCTCAAAGTAGGACAACCACCACCACCACCACCACCACCACCACCACCACCACCACCACCACCACTGAAAACTATGAGTATTTTAAAGGCTAACATAAGGATAACTGGGCTGTCTGCGGTAAACGAATGACAGTCTAGAAACGGACAACATTCCTTGTACCGGTGAATAAATTAAAACAAGAATCGTTCGAAAACTATATTCAGCAAGCCGCTCGAAATTTCAAAGCCTTCACAATAGCGAAGGAGCGGGTTGATATGTCCGTACAGGACGCCATGCTTTGCATTTAACTGTCCCGCCTGATATTCACAGCTTTGGCCAAACAAATTTCAAAGTAAATGCAAATTCAGTTGACTGAGGCCAAATGAGGGATAAAGATATCGTAAATACAGTTCCTCCACCAACTGAGCTCATGCGGCTTCTTTTCACTACTGCTAGTGTGGACATGGCCCCAGGCTGTCAATCGTGACGCCCCCTGCACGTAGCGGCAGACAGATTTAACAAAATAATAATCTTCGAAGGCATGCCATACAGAATTCCTCCAGTCATGGGTATGTGTATAGTTTAAGCGCCAGTGATGGAATCCGTCGGCGAGTAATCTGGGATGTGAGGAGGACTACAGAGCACATAAAGTCGTTGCATTGCATATAGCGGCAGTAAAATGTACTTTTGCGTTCGGATATCTGAAAAGCGTTCGATTATCGCACAAAATTCGCCTTCCTTTTTACACACTACTTGTGTTTGAGTCCATTGAAAGGGAACGGGTGATTTGGTTTCTCGGTTGTACTCATGGTCGTCGGTTTGGTAGGTAGACCGCATCTACGGATTTCCTTGATCACTGAACGTCCCTGATAGCATTTTAATCACCCAACTCTAACCCAGTCGCCCGGCCGCGCGCCAGTCTTACGATTGGCTGACTCTTTTCGACAGTCTCACCGCGCAGAATTCTTTCCCTGTCACTGGCATCTCCACGTTGAGGTAATTTTCGTTCCGTCATCATCGATTTGGCGTCTCGCGAAGTGTTATGCCTGTTATACCAACAACATCTATAGAGTGAACTGCATCGAGAGGCCTAGGCCTCTGATCAGTAATTAATTCCTACAGAAGGTTCTGCATATTTGAGCCCCTACTAGTGACCAAGTGGGGCGCCCCTTCGCGCGAAGTAAACCGGGAATGGTGTGATGAGACATGCACATAAGAACTCGAACAATCTAAAATTTCGGTCGGTTGGTATTTAACTAGAGCCCCATAAATTTAGGTAACAGTCACACAGTGCGGGCAATACTGGCTCTTGTCGCCGTAGATTCTGGAGCACTTCTGGCAAGCATTGAAGAATGTCTGCAAAGCTAAACAGCAACATGTAAGATCCACACAAGCACAAACCAATAAATTTGCAATAGCCAGACAAATAACAAAAGAATAACTGATCAGCATATGAACGAAGTATAAGGCAGAAGCTCGAGTACAGGGGCCTTAGAATCAATAAGAATAAAATGGTTCTTGCCGTCCGCAAGACTCTGCCATTCACTGCATTCGAAGCATTCGCGCGCTACTGTGTGCGAGCATGTGGGAACATCTACACGGTTTCTATTAGTCAGTGACTCGTCTTTTTGCACCCTCCCTATTCTACATGACGCCAGGACGTTCTTTGTGCGTTGCACAAATAACTCGCTCGGTGATTTTGCAGCACCCGTAACATAAGCTTCCTGCCTAAAATTTGAGTACAAGTGTGTTGTGCAGAACCCATGGTAGCTGGCCTGTCTCATGAAGCGTTAATTTAAATGTTGGAATGTGTTTTGGATTAGAAGGAATTATTTAAGCGAGGTTGCAAGTTTAATTATTGTGCTGAATAACCCAAGACATTCCGGTCACGCGAAAATGCTGGCTTTGGAATGCACTTGTTTCCGACCACTTTCAAAATCTGCGCGGCGAAAAACAACCATTTGTGTAGTGTAAATTTATTCAAGTTTATTTTCGATGCCTTTGTAGATTTAAAGCCTTATAACTCTGAGTGTAAAATGCTTACAGTAAGTGAGCTAACTCATAAAGTGTCACCCCGAATTCCGAAATTCGTTTTCGTTTCGAAAAAGGTTAATTAAATAGGGTTGTAAAACGAGTCATCGTGCAGCATAATTCTATCACAGTTCAGTTACCTCAGGATGCTGGCTTTCAGACAAACTTCTTTTCGGCTGCATGCGGGAACCACACTCTGTAAAAATAACTACTTATGTAGCATGCATTTTTCTCATTGATTTTCGATACACTTAAGACGTCAGTTATATTTCATGGAAGACATGCATAAAAATGTTCATTTTTCTCATTCGGTAGAAAATTACATCTTCAATTTTATACTCGAAGAAGGGGTTTAATTCGGTTTTAAAAAACTTTTCCAATCCCCAAATAATTTTGTACTCGACCTGCCGGTACACTTGCATTCAGCGTTTCCAAAGTACGAGCCGTATATTTTCCGTGTACGGGAAACCGTAAATTTTTCTACGGTATTCAGAGGAGATCATATGGGGTTCATAAAATTTAGTAGTGGATTTGAGTCGTATTGTTAATTTTGCAAGCAACACTAGTAAGTGCAGAGACATGACGTTTTATGAATGGCTATTTCACGGTCTTAGAAAATCTCATAATTAAAAACTTTTTTAAAACCAAATTATAGCCTACCTTCTAGTATGAAATTGAAAGAAGACGTAATTTCCTACCAAATGAGTAGAATGGATATTTTTACGCAGGTCTTCCATGAAATATAACTGACATCTTATAGGCATCGAAAATCAATGAGGAAAATTTATGCTACTTAGGCAGTCATTTTTTACAGAATGTAGTTCCTGCGTTCAACCGAAAAGAAGTTCGTTCGAAAGCCGGCATCCTGAGGTAGCTGAATTATTATAGAATTATGTTGCAGGCCGACTAGTTTTACAACC